TGCAATACAGGAAAAATATGTAGAAAAAAGTCTAGAAGAAATACGAAATTCGACGATTGTATCCACCTGTAGAATGTTTTAAGTTTAAAATCGTCCCACGCCCGTCGGAACGAAATTCATATAGTGAGCTATAAAAAGGGGTTCGGGGGGGGGGGGAGGTGTCACTTGTCAAACTAGTGAACACATATTTGCTCATTATTTGAGGGTGGCGCTCCCTCCCCCCCCCCCCTGTTGCAACACCCCTGTGTCTCAGAACATTAGTTATTATGATCATGTTAGTAGGTTTATAACATGCGTCGTGTGATTGACAGTATAGATAAGATATTGAATAGGCTCTGGTTATAATTAATAGGTTAATCTGGTATACGATTCACTTGACTAAAACACATCCAAACAACTAGCTTTAAGACCAGATAATAGGCTTATGTCTCGATATATATAAAGGTTGAGTCGGTTATAAAAGATCCCAGAGAGGGAGAGAGAGAGAGTGAGTGAGAGAGAGAGATAGAGAGGGGGGGGGGTGTAACGTCCACTCGACACAAACTAAGGCATTTTATTTCAATTATTCGCTCGCGCGTAGGGGTCTTTAGCAGTGGGAGGAACCGGAGCATCCGGAGAAAACCCACGAGGTTCACACACACAAGAGAGTTGCACGTGGGTGGGAACCAGAAGACACAGGGAAAACCCACGCGGTTAGACAGGCGACCTAACTCCTTGACACTTACAAGCGTGGGATCGAAACCACGCCACTTGACTCAATGTCAGACCTTATGGTCTATTTTCTAATCGATGGCGACTGTCGAGGAAATTAAACTAGGTGTCATACGCTTACCAACAAACATAATTATTAACCCTGAATTATCCATATCTATTAAAGGAAATAAAATCAATAAGTTTAACATCTACTTTTCTACTCCATACACCGTGCGGTGTGATATGAGGGAAATCTATCCCGGGCAGTGAGGTTACGACTTAGCCTAATTTCGAAGGTCAACCGAGAAGGGGTCTGTTAAAAGGGTGTATAACTTAACTCTATATTATCCATAATATTTGAAATCAAAAACAAATTCATTATTGGGATTATTGGGCCATTTCAATCAATAATATTGTGAGAATATGGGTTACTAACACAACTCAATTGTCGACGTCGGGTTCTCATTTAAAATATATCCCACAAGTCAATGCAAAAGTAATGTATGATCCACAAACGACTAAAGAAAAGAGGTAAAATTACAGAGTGGACTAACCTGGTCCAAACGAATCCCATTCAATTTGGACAACTCATATATTTCACCGAACATAACTAATTATAAACTACAATAAAAATTTAAATAATCACTTTATATACATTCATAGTACCATAATATGTGTTTTTTGATTACTTTTTTAAATCTTATTTAAGGTTCCAAAAGAATATATACGCCCTTTAATCCTAAGTAAGAGTTTGGCCCTTTCAAATTTACATTGATTTCTATTGATTTTCTACCGCTATCTAATTGCTTCTGCCGTGGGTTGAATTACATCTAATTAGTATCTCTTAAGGCCTGTGTACACCTAAAATTATCTATCGACGAGTTAGTATCCCCATAGATTTACCCCAACCTTTTATCGGCTAAATGGGGGTTGGATGGCCGAATAGTTAGCGCGTGCGCGTTGTATCATAAGGTCTGTCATTGAGTCAACTGGAGTGGTTTCGATTCTCCAGGTGTACTTGACAAGGAGTATGGTCGCCTGTCCAACCTCGTGGGTTTTCTCCGGGTCCTCCGGTTTCCTTCCACAGCTAAAGGCCCCTACGCGCAAGCGAATTATTGAAATAAAATTGAACCATTTGTTGGTCTCGAAATGTCATAGTTTGTCTCTTTATCGGCTAAATGCACGACACTGGTGATCATAGCATACTGCATGGATTATGTCCGTCTTCGTTAGCTATGTTAGTGCAGAAAAGCAAACGTTAAACCCCTTTTCTATTGTCAAAAAGCCAAACATCCATCTGCACTAGATGCACCTACTGGTTTAGTAGTAACTGGGGGGGGGGGGGGAGGGGTAACATCCGCTTCCACAGTAGTGTTATCGCAGACAAGTCTGGGCGTAGCCTGTCGTGTCATAGATATGATCCAGATTATCCGGACACTAGATTACTATGTAGTCTTGATCATCTGGGCACTATATATTACATTACATTGAGCATAGGATACAAAGTCCCTACGACCATAGCACGAAGAAATACACACAGCTATTGGTCCAGTAATTTTGGGAAAGGGTGACGGTAAACCAGGGCACTCACTGTACGCAAAGCTGCGTGTTTAAAAAACTTTCGGAACTATTCCCCCCAACACACAACCGCATCAAAAGCTCGTTTGCCTTTTCACGTGCACGCCAAAGTGTACCAGGGATATCGGTTTTCGTCCAATCTGAATGACTAAATGCCGTTCCTTGCCAGACCCCCGACCCTGCACCACTGATAAGGACAACCGCTAGATAGTGAGCCAGTGTCTTATTCACTGAGCCACCAGGGCTGCCTCCTATAATTAAAACTTGAGTAAAACTTAGAGCTACAAATTTCATGTTCCCAGTTCTTCATTACCGGTAACAGATACTTGTAATGGCCCTGGATATAATATTACGACTTTGTTCCAGATCTTTCTCATTAGACCTACTAGATTTGGTTTCATCTAATTAAAACTTTAATAAAGCGACGTAATAAGATAGTATAATGCCTGAATTTTAATAAGGTTCAGGTATTTGACGATCGGATTACCCATCTTCGTTAAATATTACAGCAAGATTCATATTACATGACTACTAGTGATTTGAGAATGAATTTTCAAATGTAATTATTTTCCTTTCTATTTTCACGAACTACTTTTAAAGGAGATGTTTAAACCGTGGCTCCATTCTAACTTCGCCCCAAGGCATGGGTACCATGACTACACAGTGAGCCAAACAGAATTTCCCCAACGACCAAGTCAATTATGAAATATTTAATCTTTAAACCCGAGACACCATAGAACAGAACAATCCAGGCGTCCCGAGATACTAGAATCATTTTTTTAAAAACTTTCTATAGGCCTCCGTTCAAACACTAAAAGATACAAATATGACAAGGTGACTAAAAAACACGGTCGCCATTTTTAAGCTCGAGGACGCCATATTGAAATGAAATGAACGGAAGTTTCGCGGCCTTACTTTTAAACATCGATTGGGCTAATGAAGACGGACATACATCCCACAATGTGCTATGATAGACTTTTAGTCCAGACAGTGGCGTTATGCCCTACTTTTAAGTCGAATTCTACTGTCAAAGCTTATTTTACGTGTACGCCAACCTTGGGTTTTCGTCCAATTCAAACGACTAGACGCTGCCATCTGAAAGCTGGTCCGGGTATCTGTCATCATTATTTATTTTTTTTTAGAATACAGAAACACCGCCTTTAATGTTTATCGACTACCATTACAATATCCGAAGATACCAGACAAAAATGTTGGAATTGAGAGAGAGAGGGAGAGAGAGAGAGAGAGAGAGAGAGAGAGAGAGAGTAACGTCCACTCGACTCAAACTAGGGCATTTCGGGACTGAGATATTGTTAAATTTTATTTCAATAATTCGCTTACGCGTAAGGGTCTTTAGCAGTGGGAGGACACAGGAGGACAAGGAGAAAGCCCATGATGAATCACACATACAAGGCAATGACTAACACGTTGTTTGAAATGTTATACCCACCTCGTGGGTTTTATCCCACTGCTAAAGAATCAATGAAATCAAATTTTACCAGATGTTGGTCTCTCCTACCCTGTCTCTCTCCGATCAAGTCAACTTTTTGAATATCCAACAGTCATTTTTTTAAATACTGGACAACGTGTAAATGGGTAAAGAACGACTATGAAACTTTCTACTATCTCGAAATCGCAGTGGAGAACCGGGCTTGAAAAGTCCCGCGATTCTTCTTGTTTCATGCGAGGATTCGAACCCGGGTCATTCTTGTCAAGGTCCCAGTTCCCGTACAGCTCGACAACCACAGCGCTACCACCCAGAAATGGATTCTGATTAATCACCCCCCCCCCCCCCCCCCCCGAAGTACCTATTGTTTTATCAATTCATAAAACAATTAATGTTCAATATTTACATGGAGTAAAACATTCCATATTACTGTATTCTACAAAACCCTACAGTTTGCTCTCAAGGCAAAATTTACTTCATAGAACACTACATGGCGTATGACTGTCTTCATTTAGCCCGGTTCGATCCCTGCATTGGCCGAGAAAGTTCATCCAGATTTTCCGGCGTGGTTCCCCCTTGTCAGTGATGCAGGACGGAGGGCCTGACAAGGACAGCTGTCTAGTCCTTCGGATTATACGAAAAACCGAGGTCCCGTGTATACATTGGAATGCACGTAAAAATCCCTTGGCAGTTGGAATTCGATATAAGAGAAGGCGATAGTGCCGCTGCCCGGGCAAAATTTCCCTCATCGCACATTGTATGGCGTATGCCCGTCTTCATTAGCCCAGTATAGGAGCAGAACAGTAGGACGTTAAACCCCATTTCATTTCATTAGCCCGGTTGGTGCAGAAAAGCAAGATGGTTAACCCCATTTCGGTTTATATTGTGCGGAAGACGTTTAATGCGAGCACGTGTCTTTGTATTCATACGGTATGTATATCTTGTGGATATGGTTTATATTATTGGCTTACTGTGAGTGTTCTGAAATTGTGTTCATGCATAATTTTTGCGCTTTCGTAAATTGTATCCTGTCCTTTAAGATTGTTTGAAAACCCAATTTCGTAAATTAGTTGAGAATGAAAACGGTATTTGTTTACAGTTAGCGAAATTTACCAAGGATATTATTCCAGAATGTAGCATGTAATGGATCTTCAATTAGTTGCCATTTGGCACTCAAAATGGTGTTGGTTTACACATCGCGACATATAGACAACGGTGTGTTATTCCAGCGAGTTGGGTGTAACGAAGCTTTCTAAATGAATATGTATATTTAAAATTGGTATGGTTAACGTTTTATTAATAACGACAAATTATTCTAAACTATACAACACATTATTTCTTTTAACAGGTGTATATTTACAATTGGTATGGTTAACGTTTTATTAATAACAACAACTTATTCTAACTTGAATAAAGTATACAACACATCGTTTCTTTTAGCAGGTGTATATTTACAATTGGTATGGGTAAAGGCTGATTAATGACAATTCTGACTTGAATAAAATAATAAAAAAACCACATTGTTTCTTTAAACATATGGCGTTGGTGTTCTTCGTTTACTAGAAGATGGTCTACTCAGGTGACATTCACACTTTTTATAGCGGAAAATTTTTACGCAGTGGTCAGACGCCAAGGCAAACTCGGCTACCACAAGATGACCTTCTGGACCAACAGTCAAAGCAAAAATAGCACCGACTTCATCAGGGGGTGACAACACTTGACGAATAAATTCCCCATTGATAGAGTAAACATTTACAGTGTGGTTTAGTGAATCGGATACGATAAGTTGTTCTATCTGATCAAAACATATGTCGCTTGGTATTACGACTAAGCCATCACTTAAAGTTTTTGGTGTGAACTGGTATTTAAGTTGGCCACTGTAAGACACGCACTTGATGCAACCTTCTTGGGAATCCGTAATAAAAATCTCATCATTACTGTTGGTGCACATTTTAGGAAAACAGCGTTTCGATTTCTTACCAGGTATAAAAAATTCCTTAACTAGTTTCAAGTCCCTGTCATAAATTTCTACTTTTCCGTTACTAGTTGCAACCACAATATTTTTGAAAGAATCCGTACAGACGCTATAAGGTTCATGTTTTGTTGTGAAGGAAGTTTTAAATTTGCCATTAATTGAGAAGATTTGAATGCGTCTATTTTTGCTATCTGCCACAACTAGACCTCCGTTGGGAAGTTGGTCAATGCCTGTTGGTTGGTTGAACTCCCCGTTCCCGGTTCCCTTTTTACCAAATTTTATCTTAAAAACCCCGAACTGATTGAGAATCTGTATTCTGTGATTATTGGTGTCGGCTACAATGATGTCTCCATCGTCTGTTGTGATAACGTCACGTGGGAAATGGAAATCGCCGTCTGCATTGCCTTTAATACCTATTTGAAACAGCAACTTGTCGGGTCTGAAAGTGAATAACGGATTACAATAATTAAACGTTTGTTCTGAAGATTCCAAATGATTCACAAATGCAGGCCCCTGTGCCAGATCTTAGAATTCGCTATTATTTTAATATCTCTTAAATAAGCTTGTGGGTCCCTCGCTGAAAATGTCACCGGGGTTCTCTCATCAACAAATTAAAGGGGCTATAAAATGGTTATTGTCTGCCATACTCACACACACAGTATGGCAGATTGATAGAATCATTTGGCACAAACATACAACATAATACATAAAAGCATAAAATTAAATGCTTTATATAAAACAATTTTACAACTGATTTTGGGGCCCCTGGTTGAATCCAAGTCAGCCCCCACCCCTCTAATTCGACCCTGTAATATATATGGACTCCTAGATCATCTTTATCATACACAATGCTAACAAAATGTTTTTCAAAAACAAAACATATATCCAAATCCTCTGTCTAATTGCTCTGTTTTCTAAAGCAAGTTTTTGAGAACAATATCCACTGATTCTTCCAGATTTGTTGGTGTTAGAAGGCAAGTTGTACTTTGATTGCCTAATGTGCATGTTCGTTATGACAAGCAGTTCGTCCCTATCTTCCAAAACATGGAAAACACAGCTCATGGATTTAAGCCAAGTTTCTGAAACAAATTAGGCATAATGTGTGTGTGTGGAGTTCATGGCCTACTTCATGAGTCTCACACATTCCCCACCGCACCCACCCCACTAAACAAGAATATATACCACAATACTTACTCTCGTTTAGAACAAGGTGCTTGTATGGTTAATTTAGAATGTAAGGCCTCTACATCATGAAATGTTTGCTGTAAACCATGAAACAGTAACTGTGCTTCCCACTCATGAGGATCGTTATATTCTATCATGGAAGGTAAACGACAATCGTGAACTAAAAAAAGAAAGAGAAATGGGGTTTAAAGCCCACTTGACACAGACATGTATAACATGTATAATTTTATTTACATAATTCGCTTACGCGTAGGGTCTTTAGCTTTTGGAGCAACATGGAAAATCCGGAGAAAACCCAAGAGGTTGGGCAGGTGACCCTGCCACGTATAAGCTTGGACTCGAAACTACACCACTTGATTCAATAACAGATCTTATGACCACCCAACTCCCTTGAACTAAAAATGAATCATTTGGAATTTAACATACAAAATTAGAAGTTTTCTGAATAAGCTTCGGATGGGACGAAAAACCTCGCTGGCGTGCATGTAAAAGAACCCGTACAGTTGCAATTTGATTAGCTCGACCGGTTCTGTACAGTAGGAGTGAGATCATCCACTTGAATACAAAAAATGCCAAAAAATGGTATCAAATATTCAGGAAAGAAAATGCATGCCCTGCATCTCACAGGACGTAGAATCAAATCAATCTGGTGGGAATTAAGAATGATACCCCAGTGGCCAAACGAAATACTAGCACGAACCATAGCTGTAACTGACTCGAAATCATAACCCTGGTAAATAAAACCATCTAAATATATCAAACCATCGCCCAAACCCTGGTAAATAAGATTAATTAAATATGAGAAACTCTAACGCTCGCCCGGTGATAATGGAACAAGACTTTCCAAGAAATCCAATCCCTAGTAAGAAACAAACTAATGTGGCTCTTACTTGAGAAAGTCAAATTGATTTTATTCATTTCATAAACAAAGACCAAAAACGCCACCTAAAGAAGACCACCGATGCCACCGCCATCTGTGATACCTAAATTTTGCGGATAAATCTAATGTCTAAACCTTGAAACTGGGAAATACCACGAACTAATAAGTCTCCATCACCTAGGTCAGTGCTCATGTGGAGATCTGAACATTCCCCAAATTCTTAAATATAACTCTATCCCTGGGACCGAAATTTCGGTCTACCGTCAAGCCTTACCTGGTCTGTCACCGTATGATCCTGCCAGCAACCTGTTGGCTTCATGTTTGACTTGTCTAGCTGATGGTTTACCAGGTCGTGGGCAGGGAGCTACATAACCATAGCTGAATATCTTATACCGGGATTGAAAGTCAACCATCTCTATGTTATACCACAGACCTACAAATAATTAATCTCCTATAAATTAACTAAAGTGTATTGTACTAGGCTATATATACGAATTGGTAAAGAAAGTCACTGGTAAAGAACGTCACGAGTTGGTAACCCTATGGCGTGTGAGCTGACTAAACGTCTTAGCTGCTGAATATCTTATACCGTCTTTAATTTGCACCACACACCTACAGAGATGTCAAAATTTGAATGATATTTTTAATATATTAATTTTTCATGAAATATTTTAACCGCTTATGTATATCTTACATAATGCATCTTTAAGTTTGTTAGTCCATATAACCGCATACTATATGATTGTTCGTTTTAATGAAAGATACTAATATATGTGAATTATATCTTTTAAATGGTTGTTAAACACTATGAAAATAAAGCGAATTCCACAGTCAGCATTATTATTTATGGAAGCCCGTAACTACCATTCGTAATTTCGACATACTATAAGGTGACAGCACACACACCACGCAAAAAGCAACTGACCACTTGGCAATTAAGAAATAAACATATAGCAATATCTGCACCCCGCAAATTGTCACCCCTTTTATATTTTTCTGGTTGCATTTTTGCTTGTGCAGCGTGATTCGCTATATCTGAACTCTGCAAATTTCCACCACCATTATATTTTTCTAGTTGCATTATGCCGACTATCAGCGTTATTATTAGATCAGTTAAAGAAGGCAAGTCGCTAACTCAGTATCCCGACTGCAAACACGACTTATTGGTTAGTTTAAATCAACATTGATGTTGTTATCTTACTGTGAAAAGATGGGCTTCTGATATCCACTATTTAAGACAAAATAAAATGTATAAAATTGGCAGTATGCTTTCGAGTGCCATTTGTAATGAAACTAAACATATCCCACAGGAGAATACTATCGGTGTATACTCTAATGACCAGACGCCATTCAATTTGCACTCTTCGCGTGTTTCGCCGAACATAACTGATTAGAAATTACAGTAAAACCAGAAACGATTGAATGCAAATCAGTTTATATATGTATACACGTACTCTTCAAAAAAAGTAGGGGATATTGTTGATATTGAAATGCAAATACCTATGCAGGTTGTGATATGATCAATAGTCATGGACACTTGACATGCTTTGAGAGTATGTTCACAGATGAAGAACTTAACGCCCAAACAGAACCACTGAGCTGCACGGGCGACACGCAATAACGCCAACCCCGTTGGGGGGGGGGGGGGGGGCATTGTTAGATTTGACACTTCAAGGAAGGATTGATGAAAACTGACGCTTGCTGGTTTATCCTATCCATGTTTGCTTTCCTATAGGTTCTTGCATAAGATTTACTGTTTAGCGTATCTTTGCTTCAGTTTGTTACGTTTAATTCAACCGGGAGACGTGTTCGTCGACGTCAACATCAACCCTGCAAGAACTGGCCGTGGCACTGCAAGAGGAGTGGGTCAGAATGACCCAAATCGTGATTGGACGGTTGATTTGGAGCATGCCACAACGAATTGCTGAATGTCTGAGGATTGGTGGAGGTATTACTCATTATTAAGACATAAATCAAAAAAGTCCATTTTCACTTTTGACAGTGTATCTTTTTGCGAGTGAAATGGGGTCGTCAGATAAGCCGCCCATATGAACTGTTTATGTTCATGTGTAGGCAATTGGCCTGTTATTAACATACACTGGTTACCTCTAATAAAAACAGCAGTGCATTTCCCCAGTTTTGTATTGTCTCTGAATATTCCCTACTTTTTTTGAAGAGTGTATATTCATATTTCATTATTATTTGCGCTGCGACCCAGCAATTTAGCCCCTTTAACAATTATGTAAAACTAGATCATTTGAAATTATCTGACAGTCAATATAATTTCTTATTTGTGATTGAGGTGTTGGAGTCTATATACAATTTAAAATAGTGCTAATTTATAAACAATATATATCGAAACATCTTACCTTATTTGACAATATTGAATAGTTTCAGATTATCGCCATATTTAGTGTTTAATTGTCAATATGGAAATAGGTCACGGTAGATAATCTTTGGTGTATGTGTTTATCGCTGTAACCTGTTATTTGCGTTGTTAATGTGGCTTACACAAAGCGTCATTGACAACCATAATCATAGTCGTCGCTATCCAGTCAAGTTACTTGACAGGTCTTTTGACAGCTATAGTCGCTGTTATCCAGTCAAATACCCGGCTTATCGTTTTATTGACACGCCAAAGCGTGTTATTCAGTACTGATATAAACATGCAATTAAAAAGATTGTATGGAGGGATGTACTTGCCACAATTGCCAACATGACGCACAGGTTGTATGTGGCAATACATAAACGTCAAAATCTTTAAGATGATTCCCCAAACGCCAGGAGTGTAGTGTCTAAAAAGGTGAATGAAAAACGTCACATTGCCGTCGTAAAAGTCAAGAGATCAAGAGAGATCCGTAACCCCGGAATCCGACTTTCTGTAACGTACTTAAATTATCTGTTCCTCATTTGCACATATGAAAATATCCAATTATCCAGTGTTTAATCCTTGCTTAAATGAGGATCAAGGATTTTAACGAAATTCCCCAGACTAATAGCCCGACAAGTGATTGTCCCGACACGATTTAGTCATTGCCTGACTTACAAAGTCTTTTCAGCTAGACAGAGTGGACAGGCGGTGCGGGTTGTCGACAGTGTGCTCTTTCAAACTGTTTCACAGCGGTAATGCGAAAGACTTTTATTAGCACTGTACAATTTGACTGACTTTTGAGGTCACGTTCAGTATAGTTTTACATATGGAGTCGATCAAACGTGCGTTGTTTAATACGGACGTAGTAACACAATCTGGTACAGAATTGGTGCCTTTTACTCATTTTACCAATTGTTTGTACATTTTTATATACCCATTAATTGCAATACAGAGGAAATATTTGTTTTGTCCAGATAAACTTCAAACAACTTTAATTGTTGTCTTAAAAATTAAAGAAATTGTTTTCGAATTTAATTTGCAGAAAATTACTATCGATGGCTGTAGGACGTTTAGGTCACTGGACGTTTCGGTCAGAGGACATTTCGGACTAGGACATTTAGTCCTAGAAGTTTTTTAAGATTTATTTCGGAAAGATTTATTTGTTTGTTTTCTCCTAAAGATTTTTTCTTTGCTGTGTAGTTTGTTTTTACTGCGACAAATATATTTTTTCAAAAGAAAATAAGTAATCAGATATATTTTTATTTTCATTAAGCACTTCATATCTCATACGATAACCGTTTTTATAACAACATTCAAGCACTAAAGATGAAGTTAGATAACTTGTATTTTTGCACATTATATTAACTATTACAAAATAAAGAGTCTTATAAATCACAAGCACGTTCATATTTATAAAATGTCTAAAAAATTTTGTTGACTACAACAAATGTTGTAGTTATAAGAAATTGCCAAAGTCTTGTTACCAGTTTTATTTAAAAAATATGTATGTTTTTTATATTTTCTAATTTTTTTGCATAAAATTGGTCGAAACGTCCTAGGCTGAAATGCCCACTGGCTGAAACTTCATCGTCATCGACCGAAATATCCTAAGCCAATACGTCCACTCCCCGAAAGGTCGGTCCATCAATTAACTTATCAATGATATTGATGGTCAAGAAAATATTACTACTTGTCAAATGGTGCTCTTTATGTGTCTGCCGTTAAAGCACTGGGATGTACGTGGCAAATAGCATGATAGTCTGTAGAACCTCGTGGGTTTTCTCCCGGTCCTCCGAGTTTCTCCCACATCTAAAGACCTCTGCCGCGCAAAAGAATTATTGAATAAAGATCTATCACAATGCTATTTCCGAACTGCTGTTTTTGCGTGGATTTTAAACCCAATTTCTTTTCCCCTGTAACGTTGCTGCAATGTTGAGCCCACTACCTGTCGGATTACTAGGTCGCTGGACATTAAGCCCACCTTATTATTCCTATTGCGACTTTTGGGATTGATGACCGCCGGAAATATTAATCCTTTGTTGAAACAAATGACCTACTTTGAGTTGAGTTGAGTTGAGTTAAGGGACAAAGGGAGATGATAGGAGGTCGATTCCGTTTGGCTGGACTATTTAGTCTGTGGATTATGATATCAGTCATAAACAGTGAGTGATTACATAAATTCGAATAAGTCAACTAAGTACATACTTTAGCTTACATTATTTGTTGTAATTTATTTCGGTATCTGGATCAGTCGCGAATTATCAATGATATATTAACAGCGCTAAGAGTATCACAAGTATAATTACAGACATTCCGGCAAGTCAAATTATTACGTACTACATGTACTTGTCTGTCTTACATTTCAGTTATAACCTTAACAATGAAATAATATTATAGATGACTAGATAGCGATTAACTAAAGATTAACTAAGGATTAGCTGAGGATTGGAATGCTTGAGTACAAATGCAATAATATGTTCTAATCATAGGTTTGACGCTGTAATCTAATTCCATTCAATTAAATTAACAAATATCTCAGTATAATATGCCTTAATTCAAGGTTTAAATTGACATATATTCAGGTATTTCATTAGCATATATTTCTTGGTGCAAAAAAAAATTCAAATAAAAAATAATTTTTAAATCCGTATATATCTCTAATGTTCTAGCTCGATAGTAACAAATTAGACATGTTTATTTCGTTTGATTTCCTTTTTGTTTGTATGCTGTAGTATAACATCTGACATATTTTCTTTGTAAATGGCGTTCAGACTAGGTGAACTTGTTGACCAATCAAATTGTTCTATCTTGGTATACAGTCCCGATTTTAAGGGAGGATCTGGTATGATTGGTTGGGTTTTATGTTTTAGTATGACTGGTTGGTGCATACAGAACTAACACTGTCAGAACACTGAATCAGTAAATGGAATGGGTTTGACGTCCTACCTTTCTACGTGGTCTTTAGTCGTCCCATCCGAATGACCATACAGCTGTCCTCGTCAGACCCCCGTCCTGCACCACTGAGAAGCGGGGAAACCATGCCGTAAAATCACGATGAACTTTCTTGGCCAACACCGGAAGCGAACCCGAAAATCAAATGCGTGACGTGCTCAGAATAAATACAAAGGATAACAAGTGGTATCGAGTGTATTTTAAAAAAAAAATACAAAAAAATAATTTGTTAGCACATTACTTGCCTAATTTATTTTATTCAATTCATACCCAATTATAGTTTATATTCTTTGTAGCAAGATGGGGAAGGGTGGGATACAGAATTGCTTTTAACATAAGTCATCAATAATGTTGAATTTTACGGTTTTAAAAAATTAATATATATTATATTCTTTTTAGCACGATTGGGTTGGGTGGTATACAAAATGTTTTCCATGCAATTATTAATAATGTTCAATTTTAAAGAGGTATAAGTACTCTAGGTGTCTAAGCCAGTTGGTAAAAAGCAGTTTTCGATTTCAATTATAGAGGTTTTCAAGGAGTTCCGTGAACTTTTATTCATAACGTTTGAGTCTATGTATTCCAGCGCTTAGGCTAGATTATTCTCGGGTTATTTCAATCGTGATATTATATAAAATTTATTACATTTATTTTATCTTGTCGAAAGTGAAAATACCTCTTTAAACCGATATCCTGGCGTCTAAATTTGCCGAAACCTACATTAAATTAAATAACATCGACCGCCTAAACCATCCACCATGGCGACGATGGTGACGATGGTGGCGATGGTGGGGATGGTGGCCCCCAAAACGACCATGACCATACCTTCTACCAAAATCATGTTTTGAACATGGTTTTTCCTTTGTCTTGCTCGCCAGACAGTCAGAGTGACCCTCCCTTAGTGTCCGATGTTTAGTTTTTGTCCCTGTTTTTCTATTACAAGGTGACCATTCACCTTTGTAATATCGACACCCTTCAGATTCTATGCAAGGTTCGGTTTCTGTTCTGATACTCTGACAACCCTGACCTTTTTTTAGTTTCAACGCTCGAGTTCGGACACCAGTTTCAGCGTTACATGCCGACCATTCTGGGTTCTCATGGTATTTGCACACGATTATGCATGTTTTTGTTACCTCCTTTGTGGGTGGACAGTGCGCACCACCATTTTTGTCCAAGATCTTTGTCTTGGTGCGTGTTAGACTTCCGGGATTACATTCAGTCCAGTATCGGTTGTTCCGATATTTGCATTCGCATGATTTAGTTTTCTCCTTGCTAGCTGCACAATGTGAACCCCCATCTAGCAACTTCAGAAGTGTGGTTTGTGTTTGCGTTGTGGTATCACATTCTGACCAAACGCCGCTCTTTTCGTACGTACATGGACGAAAAATCTGTTCGGAGCATGTTTTGGTTAGCGTTTTGGTAATTGGACAAGTCATTCTGTCACCCAGCACCAATGTTATGACCTTGGTTTTCGTATTTGTTGCAGCGTCGCAAGCCGTCCAACTACTACTGTGATCATACTGACACGCTGGTTCCACGGCGGTTGATGTACCTAGATCTTGAACTTCACAGGGTCTAGTGATGGTCTTAAACTCGTCACAAAGGCTTCCATGTTTTAGTGTTAATATGTTTACAGCAGACTTGACTCCTGGCAGACATTCGGACCATTCACCCTCTTGGTAGATACAGTCTGTTAGAAAAAACCCCACAGAAAACCACCAAAATATATTAACTGTGTAATAGATATATGAGTTAATGAATAAAGTTGGGTTTAATTCTCCACCGGGTTAATGAAGACGGACATATTCCATACAGTGTGCTATGAGGGAAATGTTGCAATTGAATTCCAACTGCCAATGGTTCGATTACGTGCACGCCAAGGTCCCATCCGACCAGGGGGAAACCACACCGGGAACACTTCTAGCATATTGAAATGAAATGAAATGGGGTTTAACATCCTACTGTTCTGCGCCGACTAGGCTAATGAAGACGGAAATACGCCATACACTGTACTCTGGGGGAGATTTTGTCCGGGCAACGACGAAAAGGCCTACTGTTTAATCGAATTCCAACTGCCAATGGATCTTTTACGTGCACGCCAATGTGTACACAGGTCCTTGGTTTTTCGTCCCATCCAAATGACTAGATAACTATCCCCTCCGTCCTGCACCACTGACAAGGGGAAACCACGCCGGAAAATACTGATGAAGCGACCCCGAGACAAGCGAGCCGGTGTCTCGCCCACTTAGCAACCGTGGTTACGCGTGTGTGTGTTATTTCCGTGGCTACGTGTGTGTGCATGCGGAGGGAAGGGGAGGATTTTGCTCGAACAGTGGTTGTTTCGCCAATCTTTCTTCAAATTTTAACTGCATCGGAATATGCTTTGGGGGTCTGGTCCAAACAACTAGACACACATTCATTGGCAGTCTCTCAGACGCCAATCCTGACTTAATTGAGCCGGAATGAAAATAAAAAGGTCATAAGGCCAAATGAAGCTATCGTTTGGAATGGATTTTGGTAGTCAAAGCTATTAGGTATAATATAACCTAGGGGCCAAAAAGGTCACAACATGGTAAGTAAAACAAATATTTGAAAATCCAGACATATATACATGATTGTTCCCACACAAAAAGCTTGCTAATCAACGTGTGTAATGATCTAAGGCGTATGTTGTAGAGAGGTAATGATCTACTCTCTCTCTCTCTCTCTCTCTCTGTATGTGTGTGTCTCTCTCCCTTTGTGTCGACTCCCTCAATCTCTACCCAACCACTCTCTCCAACGCCCCTTCTCTCTCCCTCTCAAAATAAAAATAAACCATATCTTACTATTTTGTGTCCCTGTTGTTCCGTCACTGATATTCTGACTTAAGAGCACTTGTAAATTACACAACACCATACACCAAACATGCAGCCAAATTGCTGTCATTTTCACGCTGAAAATTTAAAATTATTAGGTTTGTGAAAATTTAAAATTATAAAGTTTGTACAAATTTAAAATTATAAAGTTTGTACAAATTTAAAATTATAAAGTTTGTACAAATTTAAAATTATGAAATTTAAGATTATTTGGTTTTTGAAATTTAAATTACCATTAAATTCAAGAAATGCGATAGCTCTTAGTGTAAATTAAAGAAAGATAGCTTCATGAAATTAGTAGAAGATAATTTCATGATGTACACACGGGTAATCAGGCCAGTTAAAGCTGCATTATACATTATTGAGGTCTTTTGGCAGACTTCAACGGTTATATAAATAATTATTTTGACATTTATTCTTCTGACAACCCAGTAATCAACTCTCTGATATATTGAGTGGAGAAGACAATGCCTGTCATGTCTTCGTTAAACTTTAAAATCGAAAACAGAGACTTCGTGTATTATCGTAATTCTTTTCGCAATTTCTTGTCAAAACTTTAAACGTTCACAACTTCGCTTAAATAAAATAATATATTTGACAGGTATTATCAGAAAATTTTCTCGGGATTTTCCAGCGTGATTTCCCTCTTGTCATGGAGCAGGACAGAGAGCCAAGGTTTCGTGTACACATTGATTTGCACCTAAAAGAATTCCTAATTCCATTGCTGCCCTGGCAAACTTTTAAACTGGAGCTTTGTTCTATTCCAGACATTAATATGCATTAAAATATTTTACTAAATATTCCAATACCTTATCCCTTTTCGGCGTCTTAATCCCTTTTCTTCTGCTTTACAATCACAAAATCACTAATCGAATATATGTTTAACTTTAAATCGAACAGAAATATATAATCTGAAACATATCGCAAGCTTTATTTTATACGAACTAAACATCAAATCTGACCCAGTGCCAGTTAATCATTTTTCGAAACAAAAGATTTGTAGTTGATGGCACTCGTGTGTTCTATATCATATATTTAACTCCACGCTGGTCTATCTTCTTTGTATTTATGGTAGGAGTATTACAAAGCCAGTACAAATCGTCATGTAATTAACATATATATTTAATGATTGGTAACCTTGGCACAGACAGCTGTGGCATTTTATGCACTAAAATCTACTAGATCGGGGACAGGATTGGTTGTTGGTGCAATGGCATTACGGGCATTTTTGTCAGTTGGGGAGGTCTCGGTGTCCGTCCTCGTAAAGAAACAGAACTTGGTGTACTAATATCTAACAGCATGAAATGAAATAAAATTTAACGTCCTAATGTTCTGCTCCGAACTGGGCTAATGAAGACGGGCATACGCCATACAGTGTGATATGAGGCAAATTTTGCCCGGACAGCGGCACCGGGGCCTACTCTTATATCGAATTCGAAGTGTCAAGATATCTTTTACACGGGACCTCGGTTTTTCGTCCCATCCGAACGACTAGAAGCTGTCCTTGTCACAGGCCCTCCGTCCTGCATCACTGACAAGGGGGAACCACGCCGGAAAATCTGGATGAATTTTCTCGGCCAATGCAGGGATTGAACACCCGACCCCCATTCTAGCGAGCCAGCGCCTTACCCTCTTAACCACCGTGACCCCTAACAGCTAGAGGTGAAGTGTCGTTGGCTAGGTCCCATGATCCTTGTTGCAGTGACTGAGGTAGATCTCCAACACAATATACATCATTAAGCTTTCTAACAGAATGCGGTTTTTTCCCGCTGGGAAAAATGTGTGAGAAGGTGTCTTGTATCTTTTTACTGTTCCGGCAGAAATAAAAACATCTTACGAATGCCTACCATAGGGCCTCTGAAAGGTATTAGGATGTCCTTCAGGGTGACCTTATTGGCAATGAAATGGGGTTTAACGTCCTACTTTTCTTTGTGCATTAAGCAAGTTTTCTGCACCGATTTGGACTAACGAAGACGTGCATACGTCAGACCACCCCTGTCAAGAGTTTTGGTACGTACATGCCAACATGTACAAGGGACCCCGATTTTTCTTTCTCACCCGAAAGAATTTACACTGCCCCTTGCATCAATGACATGGAAACTTTCTTGACCATTACCATGTAAAACTCTTTTAAATCTTTCGTGAAATTGTTGGGGTGCTAGAAAGGATGTCAACAGCAATTCAGTTATGCTTAAGTTCTGTCAGACTTGGTCCTAGTGGGATTGTGACATAAAAAATAAAACGGTTCAGTTTTTCTGATTGGTGGCTAAAGTACCATATTCCTCCAAAATTCTCATGTTTACCCGATTCTCCCTTCTCGAGTTATAGAGGGGCCACGGTGGCTCGGTGTATAAGGTGCTGGTTCACTAACCTGGAAATCGAGGGTTCGATCCCGGCGGTGACCGAGAATATTCCAATTATCGTGCACGTCAAAGCGTACACGGGACCTCGATATTTCGTTCCATCTAAACGATTAGACCCCGTTGGAAGACCATGCATTGACAAAGGTGAAACCATGCTGGATAATTACTCACTAGGATTTCCTTGGCCAACATCAGGATTTAGCCCGGAACTTCCAGGCTAGCGAACCCGAGCATTACTCATTGTGTGGAGCAATGATATCGCCCCGAAAAACTGGACATGCAAAGATTTGGTGATGCCCCAAGCCAACTTCTTAATTGTATGTCTCCATGACTGAAGTCCATTATAGGACCCAGTATTCAGACATACCAGAAAGGAAGATATTTTAGATGTATAAAAACATGAAAATGGGAAATAAACTTTTTATTCAAATGAAGTAGGACAGTTTTCACAACAGATTTAATTTCAAGTTTGGAAAGAAACCCCTTAAATTTCACACTTAGATTGCATGCCACGACCTGAAATGGCCGAACGGGGCCGTGCACCCGCCCCCTTCCTATACACCACTGTGTATCATATAACAAATCTAGTTACAATTACATCTTAATTTCCTTCGTTTCGTTTTAGACATTTCTACAACCACATACGATCTATCATATATCTTGGCGGATGCAGTACCCCGTACATAATGACGAAAAGAGAGGGGTGGGACAGACTGCGGGGGGGGGGGGGGGGACACCGATTCAAAGTATGAAATTAAATTAAGTTAATTGAAATTTGAAATTAACTTTGTTGTCCAAGCTGTCCTACTTAATTAAAAAAAATAAAACGTTTATTTCATCTGTTTTTGTATAAAGGGTCATTTAACCCGAAACGTTAGGAATATAATAAGCCGCTTCGCATTTCCATTTAAGTCTGTTTTGTCCTGCTGTTGAGCGGGGATTTTTGAATGTCTCCCTTTCTCACATTTCTAAGTACTGGATCCTATACTTGAGTTTTGGGAGCATATAATCAAGGAGTTGCATCCGGGCATCAACAAACCTCTGCAATACATGCAAGTCTATTTTAAAGTAGAACAGGTAGAAGCTAGGGGGTAACGTGGATTCTACAGCCACCAGCATATTGAGACTAACATATGGAGATTTTCATTTCTATGGTTACGAGTACAGTGTGGTGGTCGGGGTACCTATTTTCCCCAGTTCCAACTGCAATGGGTTATTTTAGGTGCAAAGCGGTTTTTCATCGGGTTTTTCCATACAATCCAATAGACTCGGTACACTTTCTTAGTCAGTCATGTGGGCAGGAAGCTTTTCAGTTAATACCCGTCTTCATTAGAACAGTAGGACGTTAAACCCCATTTTATTTCATTTCATTTTATTTAATATGCTGTTACTCATTCGTGTAGTTACTTTCATTAACATGTGCGGGACCACGTGACATTTTTGGGGTAGGCAGGGAGTGTTTTGTACATGTATTTCATTCAATAATTCTTTGGCGCGCAGGGGTCTTTAGAAGTAGCCACAGGCGTCACAACTCCATGTCATTGAGAATGGCGGGATCAAAACCACGTCTGGTATAAACTGCTTGCAAAATAGCCCCCACCCCCTCCTCACCCAAATACGAATAAAACAACAACTTATATCAAAGAAGAATTTAATGTAATTTTAGTGATCAAACGTATTGATACATGTTAGTCTAGATATTAATATAAATGTTTTTATTCCTATCTAAAACAACAACAAAAGTTAAGTTTAAATTATGACTGCAGACGTCAATAATATTTAAGAAGAGAGAGAGAGTAAAGTAACGTTTACAAGGTCACTGGTATAAATTAAGAATAATATTCTGTTGTAATTTTGAAAATCTGATTTCTGTACACTTCTTTGTTGCTTTTTTTTATTGACGACTTCACTCGGTCGTTTATTCATCTGGTTCTGGTCCTCTTGGTTCTCTTATATGGTCATCCCTTCCTATTCATCTCCCCCAGTTTGTTTTTTGTTTTTAGGTCGTCTCCCTTTACCACCCAATCTGTCACTACCATTACCACGTCCTTTTTTTCCATTACGACTTTTTCTTTGCTGACCACCTGGTCTGCGCTGACCACCTGTTCTACTTGCACCTCCCAGGCTAGCTTGTCCTGTATTATCAGTATCTGTTGCACCAGTTCTCGGTGGTCTGCATGGCCTAGTCCTTTCTACATCGCAATCTATTATGATCAATGAACCCGTTTGTTCCTGTGTTTCAGCATCACAATCCGACCATTTATACCGACATACTGCAATATATCAAACAAAACATCTAATTAAAATTATAATCTGTAATTCGTTCGTTTTGGTTTTATGATCTTCGACACTTCACAAGTTCTAACATTTAATAACGCATCAGTCATACCATGTACACGGCACCCATCAATACTTCTAGCCAGCTAGAGTGATAGACTAAACCTCGATTTTCGAAGCTGGAGACATTTAGTAGTAATGATCACCGAGAAATGGTTAATCTGATAGTTCGTTTGTTCATTCGTGGGGCTTAACGTCCGCTTCCACCGAAGATAAAATCGCAATAATCCCAGTTATTTCCAGCTTTTTTATACACCGATGTCGATTATTAAAATAATTCGAATGGCTGTAATCAATCTGATTAAACACAGATCCTATTTCGTTTCGTTTTTTAAAGTTCAAAATTTAGTTTTACGCATCTTTACTACACTAGGATTTGAAAGAGTTGTTATATAACCCGCGTTCTGGTTGATGTAAGGGATTAGCCAACGAAACGGTCTGTTGCGGCGAGTTCTTGGTGTCGGTGCACGGAGCGCTGATTTGTTAATCAAATGTTTGACGTCATAGGGTGAGAAGTTGCTTGTATGAATCCTGACGCGCCCTCCCACTACAACCTGTCTGATCTTCATGTATTGGAGGCCATCGAAAGTATAAAAAACGAAACGAAATATAGATCTGTATTTTAATCAGTTTGGAATAAATTGTATCTGTGGAAACACCTGTCAGCAACCCCGTCAAAATATTTGCCATGTTAACCTAGCATAACAGATTTGTCAATGACTGGACAGTGTAAACCTAGCATAACGGATCAGTCTATGACTGGACACAACAATCTATGTAAATCTAGCATAACGGATCGGTATATGAATGCTAAGTGTGCTCTAATATATAACCCAATGTCTTAAGCTCGAGACCATTAAACAACTTAAAATACAGACACTCGCACATGCTTTGCAATAAAATACGTCACGCGGGTCCAAAATTTTAACTATTATAAATAATTTACGCTTGGCACATTGCCCGTAACATTATTTGAAATAATGATACGCCAACATCAAAGGATGACGTAACATCTGTATATTAACAAGAGATAACAGTCATATAATATAATATAATATGTTCTATCTACACGAAATCCTAAAATCAACCCCAAATTATCAAATGGTCGAAGCTTTTTAGAAGATTTCGCTGATTGTTTGTATCACAAATTTTGTTAGTAGATCTCGAGTCATCCAATCAAAACGAGCGTAACTGAACGAAATATTTTTAGATCTAGATGAAGTGGAATCAATCACCTGCAAATAACATGGAATAAAATATTGATATATAATTTTAATTAGACAGATCAATCAATCAACTATACCTTTATTACTGGGTCTAGTGTGTAGGGGATGTCGGTTCGGTGTGCTCTGCGTAGCCTCCCCTGAATTTGATACTGGGGCTTCTGTAATTCGGTTCGCATCCAAATCATCATTCGCCTGGCACACTACCGATCCCAAGCAGCAGACGCCAACGACCAAGCAATATATTGAAATCTTCATCATTTTAACACTGAAAATATTAATAATAACCACCGTTAACACACACGTCAAAACATAACGATGTTTGATTTTTTTTTCTTACATTTTAACAAATAACTGAACACAAAAGGGTGGAAACAGGAGAATCTGAATCAAGCCCATGAGATTAGGCAGGCGCGGGGCCTTGGAGCACGAACGTGTTTCGAAATGAAAAATCCGTGTTTCGAACAGAAGAAATGTATGGTATCAATGCCTCCTGGCCCATAATGTGTGTTTCCTATTGCGGTGGTTAGTTGCACTATGCGTTCCGGAGGACAAATAGATATACTTGCGTTTCTACCTCCAGATTCACTTCCTAAAGAGACTTTAAAAGAGAAATGAAATGGGGTTTAACGTCCTACTGTTCTGCTCCGACTTAGCTAATGAAGACGGGCGTACGTCATACAGTGTATTATGTGGGAAATTTTGCCCGGGCAGCGGCACTATGGTCTACTCTATCGGATTCCAACACTAAGGGATCTTTTACGTGCATGCCAATGTATTCACCGGACCTCAGTTTTTCGTCCCATCCGAACGACTAGATTGTCAGACCCTCCGTCCTAGATCACTGGCAAGGGGAAACCACGTCGGCCAATGCAGGGATCGATCACGCGACCTCTAGGCTTTTACCCATTCACACACCGTGGCTCCCGACAATCAGTTTTTTTTTTTGATTTTGTACTCTTGTTACTGAAAGAATTTGAGTTTTGATGTTAATGTGATGATAGAATGTGTTATCTTCCTAGTGCTGAGTTTTCATGCGAAAAAAGCTGCGCATAGCCAAATAAACTCGTGGGAGCCCCCCCCCCCCCCAAAAAAAAAAAAACAAAAAAAAAAACAAAAAACAAACAAAACAAAACAAAACAAAACAAACATCCCCCCCCCAAAAAAAACAAAACAAAAACAAACCTGCAGCCACAAAATCTGTCCTACGAGAATTTAACCCTATTTTTAGGCCCTGTGCAGGAGACTAATTGTGATACACAACACGGATATAGTAATTTACAGGCACGGTCACTCAAAACGTTGAGTCCGACCGACTACTATGAACCGGGGCCCTGTTTCACGAAATTTTAACTAAAGATAAAATCCAAATTTTAGTAGATACTTCAATTTTGATTGGCTAAGTACTAAAATCAATCTAATATTATCCAATCAAATTACTAAAATTTGGATTTTATCTTGGTTAAAATTTCGTGAAATAGGCCCCAGGGTCTTTATTCAAGAAATCTTAAATATATATATGTTAAGGATTTCTTAAAACAATGTCTTGGCTTCATTGACTGTTTACTTTCAGTACACAAGTAAAACAAGACTTTTCGAATGTTCAGAAAAACGGAGTCCGGTAAAATATAAAGTACAGAATATAAAATAAAAGAAAGTGAAACACGAATTGTAAATCGTTTGATTGACTCAATACCGAAAGGATAATTGTTGAATCTCAGCCCCATGTCATGCTGTCTGGCTAAAAACTAAACTTCATTCTACTTACCGTGTATCTTGTTAGGCGCAGTGTTCTATATCTTACAGATGTATCTGTTTAATATCTTCTTGTACCCACGTTTCTATTCCAGAAGTGAGAATAATAACTAATAAATTTACTGCCATTTATATACAATTCTACTCATATCATGTGATGCCTCGTGATATTAAGTAATTGATACCTATCCTGTAGTCTGTAATTATTGAAAAACGTCAGGTTTACTAAAGGGTGGTTTCCATTTAGTCGAATACAGCAGAGTACTTTAGATAAATTCATACTTTAGCCATTTGAAATTCTAACACTGCGTGTTTTTCATAATTATTCAATCAGATATTCAACTCGGTAGAAGCCTTATTCAAGGACACAAGTATTCGACCATACAACTGCGTAGTTTCAGATCTAACAAGCTAACCGCTGTGCCGTTTGCATCCATTACTGAGGCTTTATCAACTATAAGGATACATAAATTAGAAGTGGCATTTAAAGGCATATTATGGGAGAATAGATAAAAAGCTGATAGTTCTCACTATAATAGTTAAAAACTAGATAATGTAAAGGGAATTTGTTGAAAATTTCAGTCATATTGATCCACCTTGAACCAAGTATTTAGCGATTGAATTTTCGGCCTAACCTCGATCATCATTACTAAAGTCGGTAAGAAGGAACAGACCGGGTCTAATCCAGTAAATACCGCAGGCTAGTCATGCCATTGAGAGTTGATTATAGTCTGGATATGTTAATTTTAAAATGTCTAATCAATAATTTAGATAACATTTCAGGTCTAAAGAAAGATCTGCAATTGGTAGATTAAGCTCTTGCATAATGTATGTTTAACTGTTATAAATCGACATCTCACAATTGTTTATATTCTTGGATTTTATCTATTTTATGCAAATATACAAGCTTGATTGAGTTGGAAGTAACCTTTAAAATTGTACCCAAGTAACTTATGTTATTTTTTTTATTTCTCGCATGACCGTAAAAAAATAGGCCATGGAAACATAGTCATGTGCTTAAACAATAATAGTTCCTCCATAAAATTATATACCCTTCTGATTAAAGACACCCTATTCTTTTGTAAATTCAAAGACTCACACCCGGCAAAGGCCTGTCCGTGGTAAGACCCCTGATTTCTTGCAGGCGTCTCAAACACTACAAGGTGTGGGATTTTTTGTTTGGGTGGGTTTACAATCAACCACCCTACTTCCAATTTAGAATCTTGGTTAATGTTTCATACATCGCATTACACAGTTCTTTCCATACGGTTATGCTAATCACCGACAAGAGAGGGTTTTTTTTGGTCAGTATTGCAAAAATTGTGGGCAGTGGTCTTTTGAAATGTCTCCATTAATATTTAATGTCATTCTATTTGACTAATTTTTATGTCACATAATCTATTTATCACATATGTATTCTTGCCTATTGATTTTATACGTAGTTTATCCAGGTAAGCTATGGGTATAGTGTGTAGAATATGTAGGTCTATAAAATACCCTTTTTCGGTGTAACTGTAAGAACAGTCGTTTTTGTTTGAATTTGAACATCAAGCTTTAATTTTCACCAGCTACCATCTCGACGATTTCTGATCACATCTTAGCCGCCAGCGTCCATTTAAACTCGCCAACCACTTATTCTCGGGAAAAATGAGCTAGTTCGGAATGAGGATAGCCTCGAAATATCCCAAATGGATCGCGCATTGTACGATTGTAACTTTATCAACTGTGATGGGAGATGCGAATTCCCATCCCTACACCTTTCGATCTTCCATCTCTACCCTTTTCGTTCTCCCATTCGTATCTTTTGTGTTGTCCCATTCCTACCCATTTCCTTCTCCCATACCTAAGCTTTTCGTTTCCAACCAATACTTAAATCCCGTATAAATATATATACGGCCCACAAGATGGTCAGAGAACAACCATTTAGCTTTCCAGAATCCTCATTCTTTTTGACGACAGTCGACTCACTGCGTTGGTGTTGACGGACAACGGCATATTGCTCTTTACTGAAGTTGAATCATCCTGACTGAGGTTAAAAAATGGTGGTATGATTCCCTATTGAAAACGGAATCTAAAGGCTTTAGCTCCGTCACACCGTCGAGGGAATTGACTATACAAAGGGACACAGAGACAATTATATATTTCATTGTAATAATTTGTTTGTTTAGCCGTGATCTTTAGGATGAAGATGTTAGTAAAACCCACGAGGTTAGGCAGGCGACCCTATTCTTTGCCACATACAAACCCTGGAGCCCACATCAAGTCTAATGGTCTACATCAAGCGAGTTCGACCACCCAAACCCCTTAACTATTGCACGCCTCAGATTGCACTTATATGTCTGCTACTAATTTGTTTATGATATGGTGACATCCTTTTACTAAAACAATATCCGGTAACATATTCACGTAAACGTATATCAAGTGCTGAGTTTATGTATGTAATTATTACAAACAATGAGTCTATACAAATAAAGGTTTGGTGGCGTTTTGAGATAATGCACTATTAATTGCAGTTCCCACGGGAATTTTCTCTCGGTGGTAGATTTAACAGTGTTGTGATTTCGACCCAAAACTTGTACATAACAAGAAGTAGGATCGACTGCCCAACCTCCCCCCCCCCCCTCTCAGTGGGCAAGCGAATTATTGAAATTAAATTGATATTATGATATTAAAATGTGGGTTCATATGGCTGATATTTTGCAGGTCACACCCATAGAGGCAATGGTACTTCAGACAGAAGCTGGATCGAGCCTGTTGTCGACCGAAATATACCTCTGATTCCACCCCCACTCTTTGGCAGTGGTGTAAGACGTATGAGCTGGAGAATAAAGCCGTCTAGGATGTGATGGAACAACGAGTCCCCGTGTACAGATTGGTATGCACGTAACAGAACACATATCAGTTGAAATTCGACAACAAGATGGCGGGAAGAAGAGCTGTCAAGACTACATTCCCCATAGCACATTGTATATTGCATCGCCGTCGTTATTAGCTGGGTGGTGACTTGCAATCATATAATAACAATTCATTCATACACACTGATTTCTATGACTAGAATTATCAGCTTTTGATGGCCTTGAGATAAACACTACTGAAACCAGGGATGGATGAGATTCCTCGAGTACACATGACAATGCATCTGGTCCTGGCAGAAGTTTATGTAGGAGTGGAGGAAAGATATAAAGTTATTGTGTCTGATGAAATTTAGTTTAATTTAAAAATTACTCTAAGATCAGATTGTTGCATATTCTTGTGATTTGTATTCAACTGATTGGTTGCGGTAAAGCTTGCACGTTATATGTGCACTTGATCAGCAGGGGGAATTGTTGAAACTGTCCTTACTAGCCTACTAGCTAAGGCACTAGGAATGCTATAATTATACAGGCCTATTTCTCTTCTCTATGCGGGTTGTTTGTCATTACTCTGCTGATTGTTGACGACAACAACATTCTCTTCGCATGTGGACTTTGACTAGTAATTTTTTGTCCCCCCCCCCACCCCCGCTCTCTTGCAATTTTTGGTTGGCTTTTTGGTTTAGAATTGGAAAAAGGGATCAAATTTGCAATTTCATAGCAGTTTTGGGCTATCCCCGTAACAAAAAATCTAAACGGGCTAACCCCCTACAAAATTATGATGACGAGATTGCCAAAAGCGGTCCCCTATGTGCATATAAAGATTAGAACAAACGGAATGTTGAACAAACGCTATAGCCTGTGACGTTACAGCCATTTAACATTGAAGTCAATGGGCAAATAATTGCTAGTCTGAGTCAATGTATGAACCCAAGGGATATAACTCTATTATCTTTTTCAGGTATCAGAGAACCTAACTATGTATAATTATATACTAAGGTTTTCTTTGTAGAAAATATGACAAAGATGTCTTCTGGATAATATCCATTGCGCAACAATAGTCACAACTAGTTTGAAAGGTTGTGTGCGTGGGGTAGGGGGGGGGGTCTAGTGTATGCGCGCTTTAAACCAAAAGGTCTGTCATAGAATCAAGTTTTGCTATTTCGATCCCAAGCTTGTATGTGACAAGGGGTAGGGGCATCTGTCCAACCTCGTTGGTTTTCTCCGTGTTCTCTAACCCCCGCCCCTCCGTCACTGCTAAAGAAAATTTGCCGATAATGTCCCAATTGTGGATATTCAAACGAAAACGCCAACCATTTTCTTTTACAATGTAAACAGTTTATATCAGTGAAAGGGAAAAATTATTTGAATCCCGATCAATGCGCATATCTCACTGTATCTAACAAACGAAACAAAAATGAATGAAATGAAATGGGGTTTAACGTTTTACTGCTCTGCTACGCCTGAGCTAATGAAGATAGGCATACACCATACAGTGTACGATGAGGTACTGCGTACTCTTAATCATATCGAATTCCAACTGTCAGGGGTTATTTTACGTGCACGGGACCTCGGTATTTTTGTCCCATCCGAAGGACTATATGCTATCCCATACCAGGCCGTCCGTCCTACACCACTGACAAGGAGGAACCATGCCGGAAAACCCCATGAACTTTCTCGGCCAACGCAGGGATCGAGAACACGGGACCTCGAGGCTAACGAACCAACGCACAGATCACCAATTTTTTCCCCATTGACTTTAATGTTAATTTAAAACCCTTAAAACCCTGTGAACACCTATAGCAGCTTTGACACAGGGTAGCCAAAAACCGGACGAGGCGCTATAGTTGCTTACACATGCACTTGTTTTCAAAAGTAAAAAATAGTTAGATCGCGCCAGCCAATCAGAACAGCTGTTACATAGTATGAAGGCGAGTGTTCTGAAGATAGTTTTTGCAATTTATTTTGTGAAATTCGTCAATTTTATGTGCACTTATAGAGGCTTTCCAGGTTTTGGGGCTAATCTGATTAAAATACAGATCTACATATATTTCGTTTCGTTTTTTATACTTTTGATGGCCTACACAATCTGAAGATCTGACCAGTTGTACTGGGAGCTCGTGTAAGGGGTCATACGAGCGGCTTTTGGCCCTATGACGTCAGACATTGATTAATCAACCAACGTTGACGTTTCTAGTGGTTTACCCACAGTTACGTGCAGAGTACGCCAAGAGCTCGGCGTAACAGACCGTTTCATTGGCGTATTACTCACCCAGATCCTAGCGTTG